CAAAACATACAGCTAATTTTTTTGATAACCTTTTAGGATGTCTGAAGAGTAGTAATTCATATAAATGATATTAAGATTTACAATTGGTGTAGTGCATACAAACAATATAGGTTTTTAGAATAGTGTTGGAGATGGAGAATCTGAACAAATAAAAATAAATTTATGATTTCGTAGCTAAACTATGTGTGGTTTGAAAACTGTTTATTATTGCCCTTGAACATCCAACTTTCAATATCTTAGGAATAAGTGCGTATGCAGACTGAACCTCTGTCTACTGTGTAAATGTTAGGCTGTGCCCTACATAAGCCATCTGCAACTTTTCAGAATAGTGCATCATAAGCAAGCACCTCACTGTGCCATTGCAACAGCAGGGAGCATATATCAAGTGTCATCAATCTGCCTGAAATGTGGTGACAGTGACAGAACTTGTCCAGAGGCTCAGACAGAGGCAGAGGTTGACCCAGTCTGGCAATGACACTACACTTCCAGTCATCAATTACCGGGTGGAATAGTCTGTTATGGCCTAAAGGTGGCTAAAAACACAATGTAGACATCACTTCACATTGGAAGCAGACGGAAACCTACTGCCTCTACGTCTCCACACTGATTGGATGGGACTTGTCAGTCAAGGCTCGGAATGGCCACTAAATGGCTGAGCAGAGGGTTTCAGATTGATGCCAGGAGGAAGGGGATGGAAGAAAAGGGATGAAACAAAAGGCCGTTTGTTGTGGCTGATGTGTGATAAATGCAGCCGGTCGGGGAGTTTTCACGCTCATTGGAGCAGGTCATTATGCAGGAATTGCTGCCTGCTCGGCCCAGACGGGCCCTGTATTGGTTTGCTGAGATGCATGCAACCGACAGTGTGCATTTTCCCTTAAACCGCTTAGCTAAACCCCCCAAAAACACTCACACACAACCTGTGTTGCATGTCTCCTGGGACACAATGGCATTGAGCAGACGCTTCTCAACTGTAATAACTCAACCAAGACTACATGTGGAGTGTGTGAAGGGAATGACGTTGGTATTAAGCACAGCAAAGCCAAAGAGAAAAGGGTGGGATGAAGGGGCAGAAGAAGGATTTGGGGTTAGGAACTCAAACAATTCACTTCAGTTCCCAGAGTAAACCATTCAAGACCAGATGAAGCTGAAAGGTGTTCCTCCATGAGGGAGTTCTCCAATTAACACCCCGACACTGGCATGAGCTTATCTTCAAGTTTCTACATGCAGGTTTCTTTGTGTGGTTAGGGAAATTAGATATGATGGAGACAAAACAACAAATAGAGGCCAGGGTTTTGTCTTAACCGGCTAACAGGGGCGCTGCGCCCTCATACCAAAATGCCGAAAATCATATTTCTGTTCGTCAAAAACTGTATAACTACTAGAAATATGAAAATTGTGTCAAATACAACGTCAGACAGCCTAGACAGCTTTGTTTTTAAGGAGCTTTGACGTTGCGTTGTTTTTTACATCCGCGGAGAAAGTACATCTCTTATATACAAGATCAGCGCCTCAGTACTGCCCTCATACTATATTTTTCTAGAAAAACACCTGGAGGCACAAATAGTTTGTTTTGTAAAAACTGAAATGACGACATAGTTTGACCACACAAAGCAACATTATGTTATGTTTAGGCCATATGCATTAGATCTTAATTGGCTAATAAAATTGAGATTGCAGTTCCATAAACATAAAGTCAATTAATGGCAATGTGTCTCTTTATCTTGTAATGTTCCGTGAAATTAACCTGGTGTGTGAACTTGATTTAAAAAAACAACAACTATAATCTCCACCCACCAACACGATAGAATAAAACCGGGACTGAACCCAACCATAGACTTTTAGAATCGGTAAACCGGGCTTGTTGCAAAAACATTCAGAAAACTGCATACAATGTTTTATACTGCTTTGACACTTGACTAAACTGGGAAAACTATTTGATTTACTGGTTTGCTTTATGTAAAGCCAATAAATCCCTAATTGTTAACTTTGTAAGATACTATTCAAAGTAAAACAATCTATGCTCTGACAGAATCACCACAATGAGCCCCCCTGTTAATCTGACTTTACATTTTAGGGAACAGAATTACTTTTTTCATTAATGCCTATCATGTGCAAGCAACATAAGGACGGTGACACAAAGACGCAGGTTCATCACTGGCGCTGACGACTTGATGTCCTGTAGGTGTTTTTTTCAAAGAACTGTGATGCTTTGTTTTTTTCACATATTTTCCTGACACAGAAACGTGTCACATATAACACATTGTTATTAGAAACAGATGTTGATTTTATCGTCGGTGTCTGTGGCTTCTTTCACAACGTCGACACAGTGTCATATGCGCCGGGATACCAGGACACATTTGCATGACACACACACCTGTCGTCCACAATGCAACACGCCGTGGTAACACAATACGCAAGTAAAACTCAGGAGAGTAATGTTTCATTACATGATGAACAGAAGGTGAAGGCGAGGGAGGGGAGCCGGGGAGGCGCGCGGATGCATAACTTAAGTAAAAGCCATCCAAACCCATATTTGTTTACAGATTTGTTTAATAAGGAAAAATATATGCAAACAAATGAATTTGCCCGTGGTTGTAACTGTGTATTAAGATCATCACTTACAAGGCCAGGTCTCCTCCAGCCCTCCACAGGAGCCATCCATCAGGCATTATTAAGGAAAATAGAATCTGCATAAGGCAGAAACAATGCCTCCAAGAAGTTTATTTATTTTATCTTTTTAGGGCGCTAAGCAGCAGATCCAAGTACTGAGTCGCTGTTAGCTAATTACAAAGCATTTGATCGCTATGCCCCCAAGATGTGCAATTATAACCTTGGTTGAAAATAAGGGAAATGTTTCACAATTTAAAAACGTAGGATAAAGATGCTCTGACAAAGCTCACCTTTGTGTGTGTGTGTGTGTGTGTGTGTGTGTGTGTGTGTGTGTGTGTGTGTGTGTGTGTGTGTGTGTGTGTGTGTGTGTGTGTTTTTAATATAGTTTTTAGGTACTGAAGAGGACAGGAGACTGATTTAACAAAGCCGTTGCCCTGAAACCACGGCTGACCTCGCTGGAGGGAGATAGCAAAGGAAGAAGGAAATGTACGATTTCCCAAAGCTGCTCCAGTCATAGGGTACTAGCAGCATTTTAACTAGAAAGAAAGCAGAGGGGTACTTTAACAAAGTCGCAGCACTCCGAGCTACCTTTAGCCCTGTTTCTGCTGCAGTGCTATCTCAGCCGAGATCTCACAGCAAACGCGTATCTCTGTGCAGATCGCACAAGGAAGACAATTGTCATTAACATTTTATTAAAATGTGTCCCATCAGCAACATTTCTCCCCTCACACATCTAACCTCCTTTTTCCTTCTTTGTTACCCTCTAATTCTAATCATCATTCCCCTCCATCACTAGCTGGGTCTAATTCCCTCTCTTCCTTCGTTTGCAAAGGACCTCTGCTTTCATCCTTGAGAAGGGGCTTTAATTTCGAAGTGCGACGCTGAATAAAGAAGGGAAGAAGGAGAGCGAGAGGGTGATATGGAAAGACAGAGCGGCGGTGGAGACGTTCGGGTGTCAATCAATCCGTCGCGAGGGGCTGCAAGAGACTAGTGCGCGTTTGATCTGTGTCTTTCAAAGGGGGAACAGCGGGAAGGGCCATCACAGATGATTTGCTTCTCGCTGCTGGCTCTGGTGCCACTCTGACAGAGAGCAATCACAAGCAGGTTAATTCAACATCTACCTTCTTAATCTTTTTTCCCCCTGTCTCTTTCTTTTGGTCTCGTTCTGTCTACTTAGATAAAACACTGCTCTTCCTGCTACCACCCCCACCTCCTTTTCCCCTCGTTTGAAAGAGAGGGAGAGATCACAAGTGTACTTTCAATGATTTTTCAAACCACCTATAGTTTGATTGCTTTGGTCTTAATCGGGTTGGGTTAGGGTTAGGGTAAGAGTTTCTGCAGTCCTGCAATAGTATATTTACGTGTTGCTACAATGAAGTCATATGTTAAGGATGCTGTTATGCATTGTCGAAAGCAAAGTAGGATCTGTACATTTTCATCTTCTAGGGTTAGAAACACCATAAGCTGTATTTTAAGTTATTTACTTTTGCTGTCATTGTTTGTGTTCATATCTGTGGTATGTTGTGACCAGAATATGAAGTAGAGCATCATGATGACATCTTGAAAACATGCTGCTTAACTTGACTGAAAGAGAAGGATATGTTTTCTCCGGATGAAAGACGACGCAAGTTCCAGACAAGATCTGACCTTCACTCATATAACACTGAAAACTGAAACCCATACTGCTTTCTTAGCTGTGTGGAATCACAGTAAAATAATAGCCACCTTTAAGATGAGGCAACAGCATTGGCTTTGACGTGGATAGAGAAGTATCCTTCTTTACTCTGGATGATTGTAGTTTTCTTAACAGGCCACACAAAGGTGGACAAAATTCAACAAAATGAATCTTATTCTACAAAAGGTCAGCCGTGCATAAGGACAAACAGAGGTTGGGGAAATTATAGGGGTGAAAGGGTAAGAAGAAGCGTAAAGGTGTGCTTTGGTTAAAGGTGAGAGGGTATGGAGAATATGAAGGAAGAAGGTGTTTTAAGAGAAGTTGAAGGTAAAAAGGTTGCGACGAGAGGTTAGGACATGGAAGTAAAGAAGATCAAAGACAGAAGTTGGTCATTGAATTGGAAGAAAATAAATTATACTGACAAAGAATAAGCCAGATTGATAAACTTTTCAGAGTCAGCACAAAGACACTCCATTAAGTTTCAACAGGAAATAAGAATACAGCCATTTTCCAGAAATGTCCCTGCCTGGCCTTTTTTCCCATGGTGCTCTATTCCTACTCTACTGCTTTATGTAAGGTCAAAGGAATAACAGGATAAAGGCTGTCCTCTCTGCTCCCCTGAAGGACAAGCACTCTGGCGATTGGATTTGGTGTCCTTCAAGGACAAAGGAGGAACACTGGGATACAAAGGAACCAATAGTGGAAGAACAAGATTTCATCTGTCTCCGTGGCCTGAGTGAGTGGCAGCGATGGCTGGACGGGCAATCTTCGAGTGCTGCCTCTTTGTGTCTGGGTGCCCTCCATCAGCATTGAATAGCAGGACTCGAAGCATTGACAAAAAACAAGCTCAAGGATTCTGGAAGATCTGACCTCTGTGGAATGATAGAGCCTGGGCAGGGTAGTTGGGTCAGCCAGCTGGTCTAATACAGTGAATCCAAACGTATATTTATCTTTCGGTATACTGTATGTGCGTAGATGTTTGAGTTCAAGTTAGGAATCAAAACGAAGACGTTTCGAGAGGTAGGTCAGACAATGGAAAGTTACATGGTCAAAATGGCAGAAACAATGGGAAAACATGAGATGGACAATATGTTCCAAGCTATCCTCAACATAGGAACTTAAAGGTGCACTTCACTGATTTCCTCTGGCGCCTTCATAATGTTAAAAACAAATGATTGATAAAGAGCAGCAACAGCAAGAGATGATATACCCTACCTTTAGTCCCTAGAATGAAAGAAGCACAGGAAACTCTGGATCCTATATTTCCCATGATATACTCAAACTTTGGTAGGAATGGGCAACCCCCCCTCACGGTTAGACTCAGGCTAGACATTCCTGTAAGCATGGAGCACCAATGCCCTTCAAACACAAACGTTCTGAGGACTGTCATCAAGGCAATGTTCTAAATATATATATTTCTTACTCCTTAGAGACTTCTCATTCGGGATAATGGTGAATTTTTCTATGAACAGGGATTCTAGAGTAGAAATTGAATAATTAGATACCTGCATGTAGGTAGGCAAGGTCTGGATTCTCAATATCTGGGTGGCTCTCCTTCAGGTGGTTGCGGAACTCCATGGGTGAGTTGGTTGCATGGATACATTTGGGACAGTTGTACATCTTCACGCCCTCGTGTTTGCCTGTATGGAGAATGTGCTTCCGGATGTTCTCAGCACAGTTAGATCTGGGGGAGACAAACAAAGATAAGAGGGCCTCATTGCTTTTTGGAATAGATAGAAAGATAAAAAAAAAAGATTAAAAGACGAGAGTCATGAGGGAGAAAACACGAAATAAACCACTTGGCAACTTTCCCAAGAAAGGTTTGTTTTACTAATGTTTTATTTTTTGGCAATGATGACACACACTCTCTAAGCATTCATTGCCTAAATACACCTCTGTGAAACAGACCAAGCGAAACACGGATAGACCGGGTTGGATGTGTTGTGGTGGTGACGGTAGCAGTGGGTTAAGGCCATTGTGAGACTGTGCATGAATCTAAAGGCCTGCTAAGTTCGCTGTAAAATCATCTCTTGAAGAAAAGGGAGTTAACAAGTGTACTTTCAATGACTTTTCAAAGCACCTATAGTGTAATTGCTTTGGTCTTAATCAGGTTATGAGTGGTTGAATTCCTGCGGTCCTGCAAGTTTATTAATGTATGGCCACAATGAAGCAAATTGAGAGGAAACTAACGCATTGGTGAAAGCTAGGCGGGATATATACTTTTTTCTAGGGTAAGAAACAACATAAGCTTTATTTTTGGATCATTCCTTTTACTGTCACTCTTTTGCTTCATATCTGAGGTGTCCTAAGACAGCTGTTATGCATTATGTATCTTTTATAAATAGTATGAAAGGTATAGTAATATTTGTGTGTGCGTGTAGGAATTTGTGGGTCTTTGGGCGGTTCAGATAGGGCAGTGAGCTACTGCAGGGTGTAGGATGTAATGATGTCAGCTCAGAGACTCACACACAACCCTCTTCTGATTAATGACGCTGCCTGACCTGCTCACAGGCTCTATCTAAACCTGCCTACACACACACACACACACACACACACACACACACACACACACACACACACACACACACACACACACACACACACACACACAAATGGGGTACTGAAGAGACAAACATGCACATACATTCATACAAACATAGACATAAACAAACCTTTGCCAAAATACAAATCTCTGATATGACTTCACGCTTGCAGATATACAGACATGAATCCATAAACACTTACACACATGTGCACAAGAAAGCACATAATGCATCATGCAAGCGAAGCATGTGCAGTGTAGAACACAGTTTCATACACACACATAAACACACAGCGTCATGTGTTGATGGATTGGGCACTCGTGCTCAGTTTGGACCTGACATTCTCGGACAGTATAATACGCAATTACTCTCCCTTATCACCTTGGCCGGGACAATAAAGCCTCACAGTGCCATAGCTCACGCCAGCCAAGGAGAGAATTTGTTTTCACTTTTGCAGAGACACCTCTCTCCATCATGGGGCCACAAGTCCAGCCCGGATCCACTTGGGGCCTTACAAAGAAAAAAGAAGAGCCCTCACTGGGTTCTGTTGATGTTGTATGAAAAACACAAGCATTTGCCACTGGTGAACAATGAGGGCTCTTCACAAAAGTCAACACTGGAGTCGGTTGGGGTAATTTTTTTAAGTGGTTACTTACAGTAGTGTAGGAATGTGTGTGTTACCAGTTTATTGAATTAGATATATAAATATCTAATTCATGAAAGTTTGATTTATGTTGGAAAAGGTCATGCTAGGCTCAAAGGAAGTGAGGTATTCGGATTTGGAGTTGGTTTAAAGTTAAGCAATACTTGTCATCCTTTAAAGGTGGGGTAGGTCATTTTGGAGAAACCAGATTGAGTGCGCTAGAATTTGAAAATACACAGCCGGAAGAAATCTGCCCCTTCCTTACAGAGCCCCTCCTCCAACACACACGAACGTGCACATGACCAATGAGGGCACGAGATAAGTTTGTGCACAGATGGAAGGCTGACAGGCAGGTAGGCCATCCAGTTATTTTTCTAAAATATTTGGTTTGTGCTTTTTGCAGTACTACGGCTTCCACAGATGACATTTTTTTATGGATTTTGTGTCAAAGCACTTAAGATATTCATTGCTATCGGGATGTTAAGAGCATTCCATGGAATATAACAAAAAGTGTATCTCGAGCCGGTTTCTCAAACTAACCTACCCCACCTTTAATTCTGAAATGATAAGCGGTACAAGAATACCTGGCTAAATATTGTATTTATAAAAAGAAGCCCCGGAAAAAAAGATGCTTTACTTAGGCCTAGTATAAAAGTAATATACATTCAAGGTCTTGTAGGTTTACACCAATGCCAAGTGTAAGGCGTGTGAAGAGCTTTTAAAGTATAAATGAGATTTTCATTGACTTGATATTTACACATATTCTCAATCATTTAGCCAACAGATTGGCACACACTGTTGTGATTACAGCCGTCACACACAAATATAACAGGTTCACTGACAAATCATAGCAACATCTGCTGACTGTTTTTCTGCTTAATGAAAAAAACAAAGAGACGTAAGAACTTAAACTGTCACATGCTCATAAATTACCGCAAATCAAGCTGCTTAAATATGCATTTTTTTTTTTTTACTAAAAGTGAACTGATTTCTTATTCGAAAGTGTGAGCATAAATAGATACAATTTGTAGCGGAGCTAAAAGGTTCTAAAGAGAGTGCGGGTGGATTCCGGGGAGGGGNCATTTGGATATTTTTCTGCCAAGGAGGCCCAGTTATCATCATTAATGTCCCCCCCCCCCGCTCATTCCTCCCTCATCTCTCCCTTCACTTTACAAGGTCACAAACCTCCCTGGCATTGACGGTGAGAGTGTCATCCTCAAAGCCGCCATCGCCTCCAATTGAAACTCATTTTAAACAGGTAGATTGAAACATGAATAAAGCGGCATTCGATAAACAATAATAGCCATGGAAGGATGGCAGGAGTCAGAGGGTATGTATCAATTAGACCGCTTAAGATGCAACAGTGACTTTAATGAGGAAAAAAAACCTTGTCATTGTGAACAATATAAATTATTCTTTAAAAACTGGAGTAAAGAAGTTGTGCAGTTTGCATAAATAGCTGCAGAATAGTCAAATAGACATCATTAATTGACAGCCCAGGACTCCCATTAGAATATTTTTACTACTATTCCCCAACTATAATGATCCCTTCTCTATTATCTATCACTGTCTGGATAGCAGATGAGTGGCATTTGATAGATCATTCACTCCCTGCTCATTTACATGCATTTGAGGAGCAGCCTTGATGGAGATCACATTGTATCAAGTGGGAACCATAGATAACATTAAATATGGATATTTTAATAGTGGAAATAGGATATATACGTGTGAAAAATGAGCAAAAACTGTCAATCACACAACTAATTCATTTGTCTCAGACCTAAATATGTCCTTACAACTGCACCATATTTTAATAAGTTTACATTTTAAGGTCATAGGTCATCTAGTCCCTCCTTATCGTGGTCAGGCCACCAGAGACGTCAGGGTTTTTAACATGTATTCAGAGAGTAAGCAGGGGTGGAGGCGAGGGCCCTCGAGGCTGTCTGGGGCCCGCACATTCAATTCCTCATTCTCACATTAGAAAGCCAGCGGGGCGTTTCCCCCAACCTCCCCCTCCTCCCACCTTGCCCCACCCCCCTTCCTCTGCCTTCAGGACCTTTCAGAACCCCTGAGGGCCACCGAAATTGTTAATTGGGCTTCTAATTTACTGTTTCATTGGCCCCCATCTGTAATGATCATTAAGTATCAGTGTGGGAATAATGGGGCCAGGAACATTTTTGCTTTACGGTATCTCTGATTCTGGGGTGAGTCTACTGTAGTGGTTTGATATGGGCCCACAGTGTGACCTCAAGGGAAAATAAATCAGACATTTCATATTTTTTCATCTATATTATTAATCCTAAAGCGTTTGGCGAATAAGATTACCAAGACATTTGAATAAAATTCAATGAAATGCATGTTGCTGGGATCTGAGGTTTAGTATCACGAGGTACAGAATGTATGTCACAGTACATACTGTATGGAGTTTTGTGCAAAACATCTGATTGTGATTCCAAAATGTATCCGTTGACTACAGGCAGTTAGACAACACTAAGGCTGCAGCCACACAAGGACAATAACGGTCGTATCTGCTACAGTTCTCTATCAGATAGATGGTTCGGCCACACAAGGCCGAGATGGAAAAGCAGAAAACGATAACGGGTCCCAAGGTGGGTAGATCTGCGGACGAAACGCTCTGGGGGGCCAAACGGCTCCGTGATTACGCCCTGTAACGATCATTTCCTGCTAAGGATGACGCAATAGTCCCAGTGTTTCGAGCCAGGTCCCGGTATCTCGCAGGACAGTGCACCCAGCAAGAATTTCCAGCTAGATTTGATCGATATGGACAGAAACGCGAGTGAAGTCTAATCGGACAGGAGAGGAGACACGCAGCTCTGCATGATAACCTGCAGCTCCGCCCGCTGTGATGGAGCGATGAGCTGAACAAAACACACTTCAAGTTAGATCATCACCCTTAGTTATTTTAATTACCTCTCAAACTACCTAAACTAGTTAAATATATATAAATATGTTTATTTTTACTGTCGGGTCACTCATTACTGGATCAGCCAGCTGCATGAGACCACGGATACTGACGGGCTGTCAGGAGAGGGGGAGGAAAAGAAAGGCTCCGTCCTCAGTGTATTATTCTTATATTATTATATAGTATCGATATTCATTTGTTTCAAAGCTCAATAAATAACAAAGAAGACCTTTGACCGGCATTTTTCTAATTTTGTCCGAAAGATTTAAACTTTGACGGACATGTTGACCAGCGAAACCCCACCTCTGCTGCTAAATCCAGCGCGGAGAACAAACAGAAGGGCAACCATGGCATGGCAACTATGCATGCACGAAAAGTCTTCTTCGCTTCTTTTGGTGTATTTTGTGGCAGAAGTGCAGCGCCACTTACAGGCCCGGCATATGTAATACAGCGTCTCCAGCGGTTCGAGCTGTCTCGTGTGGACGGACACGTTTCTGGTGCCTATTGCGTGTGGACGGAAGACTTTTTTGATAACGATTTTGGTGCGTTTCCGTTATCATCCTTGTGTGGCTGCAGCCTAAGAACCTGATGTTTGGCAGGTCTATTTTTTCTAGTGTTCAACATCTTAATATAGCATGCTAGCATTTTCTACTTACTACTTCACAAAGTACAGCTAAGGCTAATTGGAAGGTCATGTTTAGGTGTATTTTTTACTTTATACGTAAAAACTTTGATTGATGCATGATGAAGTGTCAGAAGATAGTCATAGCAATAGACTTGAAGTCAACATGAAGTCCTGTATACAGTGCCCTGGCAATCAATCCGATTGTTGATGTAGCATTTCACAAAAAAATACAAATCTGGCAACCAAGTAGTGACTCTAAAGATAAATTCAGTGCACCACCAGGTTTGGTTGGATTCATCCAATAGTAGTTGAGACATTTCAGTCTGAACCAAAGTAGTAAACAGACCATTCATTGGCCTAAAAACAATGTAGTTGAACTCTGAACATATATTACAAGGCAAGGGCAGTCACCCCACGCAGTTACAACATGACACCTCCTCTGAATACCTTGTATGCATCATAAATGAAACGTCAGTTAAAATCTCCCAAACTGTTCAATCCTTAATTGATATTACAGAGAGATACTTCATGATAACTTTAGGTACAAGGTGAGTTACTCCTGTGATAATTAGGAAATAATAGCCTGACTGCAATTATTACGTCTCAGCATTTAATTTTTTCAGTAAGTCGGACTGCGTATTAAAAGACTTGTGAAATGAGCAGAGCGCTTCACTGCGGCGGAGCAGGTGTAGCAAGCTGCCGAAATGACTTTGTCACAGAGGGGAAAAAAGGAATGACGAGTACATCTAAAACCAATGATGGGTTTGAGATCATTCCCTTTCACACTTTCACGAGGAAGAGAGAGACAGAGGGAGGGAGGAAAGGGAGACGGTGGGAGAGATAGAGAGAGATGGAGATGTGCAACGCCAGCCAAAACTTTTTCAATTTCACCGACAATTTCCTGTGTAATTACTGATCTGGTATGATGGTGTTTTAATGACAGGGACCTGCCAGGGACATTGTGTGTGTGTGTGTGTGTGTGTGTGTGTGTGTGTGTGTGTGTGTGTGTGTGTGTGTGTGTGTGTGTGTGTGTGTGTGTGTTGGGGGGAGATCTGGCTGGGCTTGTTGATGATGGCAGAGTGATGAGATGGAGTCGTGCTGTGGAGATTACACCTGTCTGCCCTCCACCAAACACACATACAGCCTTTAGCATTAACACGCCCCCACCCCCACCTACCCTCTAAACTACCACACAATGCCACCTGCTATCTCCCCATCACACTCACTCACTTACGTGCCCCCCCCCACCACCACCACCTATCAACCCCCTGATCATCAGTGCCATGGTGGCGGCCATCAGCTCCACCAACCATGGGGCGGGTCAATGAGCCGGTACCTGTAGTCGCACCAGGGGCAGCGGTATGGCTTCTCTCCGGTGTGGACCCGCTTGTGCCGCGATAGGTGGGACTGCGTGGTGGAGGCGAAGCTGCACAGCTTACATTTGAAAGGTCTCTCTCCTGTGGGGTTGAAATGAAAAGAGACAATGGATGGTGATGAGCCGAAGATGACATTAATGTCACATATAGACATATTAAGATACAAATGTATTTCATGTAATAATATACTTTTACTATTACTGCCATTTGCTGGCAGATACTTAATCATTTTTTTTTTACATGTTTCACTTAATTTTTTGAAAGGCTGCTATAATTATTTTTGTATTATTGTATCCTTGCTTCATTATTCTATGCTGTTTTATTTTCTTTGTCTTTATCTGTTCTGTAATAGTGCTGTAACAATGTTAATATCCCCTAGGGTTAGGGTTGAATAAAGGAATTATGACTGATTCTGAAATATAGGTAGGCCACAATTGAAATGGTTTGGAAACGTGTGGCAACATTTTACTCGATTTATGCAACTTAGGTTGTCTATTATACATAACTTGCAACTAAACAAAAAGGTGGCATATACTGTATTGCTGCAACAATAGCTATTAACAGTTCTTAATTCGCTGTGAAACTACACTATCTACATTTACATTAATGAAAGCAATTTGTGTGCTTGGTTACTCAAAACACTGCAGATTTGTTTGTATGTGAAATGATGCAAGGGAGTTTAGGTGTTAGCACAGAAAGGGTTTGTGTCAATTCCATTATTAATATCCCTTGAATCTGGAACTATTTGTAAAAGTGTGCTTATTTAAAGTCCTGTGGTCAATTTTCTGTTTGTATTTAAACACCAAAAGTAGTTGAACTACCATTTATTTTTTTAGGATGAAATGCTGGATAAAGTTGTAGTCAAAAGATAAAGTATGAGTTGAGTTTTCAAACTGTTAACTGTAACTTTAAAAAGGTACTCTTCAAGATATAGAGACTTGATTCTTAATGGTAAAAGCATGCTCACAGGGTCAAGGCAGTGATGGCAAAGTTTTGTATTTAAACATTTTTCAAATGGCAGACCAGAGTAAGGAGTTAATTTATTTGGCAGTCGTAGTTTAAAACCTGCAATAAAAAGCTCAAGCTGTTTTATAGAGCTTATAACCTACAGAACATTGAAGACGTTTTTTTAACGTGACAATCAGTTGACTCTTGTAGTCTCCAATATTTTTTTTTAATACAGCTTTAGTGGCATTTCCATACTGACAAGACTCTCATTAGCCACTAGCCATGGTACATTTTGGGCATAAAATGGGAAATATAAGATACTAAATAATGACAGAATGTTGTTTCAGAGATTCAAACCACAAAAATGTTGACATTAGCAGTGGCCTTGTGTAAAATGTCTATGAATCAAACACCGTCCAACATGGTGGTCCCTTCATGTGCAGCTGCATGGCAACATTTGAATGCCTGGCTAAATCAGTGGAATTGACACATGTCAACACAGTACAGAAATTGGAGGTTTGGATAGGAAATGGTAGCAAACAAAATGAATTATAAAAAGCCAAAATGAATATTTATAACAGGATTCTTGATCCTTGGGCGACTGCCAGACAACGGTTAAGAACAGTATTTGTTTCACTATCCCAATTTCCAAAAAAAAGCGCTCGTTATTGACAGCCTATCTGAAAAATGCAATTTCCCTAAGCGACAGAATGACATGGTGAAATGATAACTGAAATTAAAAATCTCAGATTCAGTCAGCCATACTGGTACACATGCCTATCACTGACAGCGGCATGTCACACTGATGTGCCTGTGTGTGTGCCTGTGTGTGTGCCTGTGTGTGGGTGTGTGTGTGTGTGTGTGTGTGTGTGTGTGTGTGTGTGTGTGTGTGTGTGTGTGTGTGTGTGTGTGTGTGTGTGTGTGTGTGTGTGTGTGTGTGTGTGTGTTTGTGTGTGAAAGAAAGCAAACTGTTGCTTAAACTATGAGGAAAAAAGTGAGTGTCAATCAACGTCCAAGATTATGAAGCTCTGCACAGTTTGTGTGTGTGCCCAGATTAGTTTTGGACATCAGTTCAGGGTGTGTGTGTGTGTGTGTGTGTGTGTGTGTGTGTGTGTGTGTGTGTGTGTGTGTGTGTGTGTGTGTGTGTGTGTGTGTGTGTGCGCGTGCGTGCGTGCGTGCGTGCGTGCGTGCGTGCGTGCGTGCGTGCGTGCGTGCGTGTTGCTGCTTACCTGTGTGTTGGCGTCTGTGTTTGGTGAGGGCGTGTCTCGTGCCTCCAGCAAAGCCACACAGGTCACACAGATAAGACTTCTCTCCTATAGAGACAGATTGAGAGAAGGCTAAAAGCATTAGGAAACATTGGTAAAATAAATGACAATGAAGAGGCCCAATTATGCTTTTTGGGGATTTTAGCTTATAGGTTTTAGTACAAATCAATGGTCTGCAATGACTAAAACCTCAAAGTTTCTCTTCCACAAACCGCCCCCAGTCCCCCCCGGCCTGAAACGCCTGCATTGGACTCCCTTTTTTAATTTCAGAAACACAGTGACACCACTATATACCTATGTGTTTCTATTGGCTAGCGCTCATACAAATTGTACGTGCTAAGGGGAGGGACATCTCTAATTTTTTGGCCAATCACACAGGGCCGGCCAGCTGACCAATCAGAGCAGACTAGGCTCTGAGTTCAGACAGAGGGTGAAATAGGTGCTGCAGCACAGACAGTATGAGAACAATAAAGACCGTTGAACATTAAAGTATAAATGAGACGAAAGTTAGTCTTACCCAATCTGGTTCTTGCTGACTCTCCCCTTATTCTGTCTTGACATCATAACATGTCACAGTAGAGGCACAAAAAACATATCTGAACCTAAAAAGGAGCATAACAGCGCCCCTTTATAAAAATGACATTCAATCAAGACAGAATAAGGGGAGAGGCAGCAAGAAACAGATAGGGTAAGATTAACTTTCATCTCATTTATACTATATTGATTAACTATTCATGTATACACTCATTCAAATCCAGATATCCATGAGACAAAAATATAATTTTTCAAACTACAATTCATATACAACTTTTGCAAGTAGCACAAAATGTCTTTGATAAATATCCATCACAGTTTATAGACTTTGACAATGAACAACATTTCATGTTGATAGATATTTCTAAATGTTGTTAAAGGATACCAAACCGTTAATATTTAGGGATGTAAACACCAGTTAAGCTTATAAAACTGAATTAAATGACAACACGTTTATGATATGTTTTAACAGTTTCATGTTCTATTTGTTGATATCATTTTTGGATGAAAGCGTATTATGGCACTGCAGATGCAATTAATGCCAACAATAGCAAAGTAAACTGCACATGAGTTTGTGAAGGTACACAAGTCATGACATTTGTCTAATCTAAGTGGTTTTACCTCAACTGAATATGGCTCAGTGTAAAATATCTGTCACTAATACTTTTACATTTCAAGCTTGCGTCGACATTAATAAAAAATAAATCCAATTGCATTGCAAGCTTAAACACCGTGGTGGTAATACGTGAAAGGTTATTGAAGTAGATTTCATGAAATATTGAATCCTTTCGCGTGATGGAGAAAGAAAGGAGTGATACCTCCTTCACTTGAGTACTGCTGAAATGTCATTAAGCAAGGCAGTGGGCGCTCAAGTAAAGACAAAGACGGAGAAAATATTATGTGAGGGATGTGTGAAAGGAGGAGAAAGGCAGAAGGCGAGAGAAGAAAAGACAGAGTGAACAGATGAGCGGTGGCTAACAGATGAGCGGTGGCTAACAGATGAGCGCAGCAGAAGTCACAGATCACTAGTGTATATCCATCAGAGCTAACTAATTCCTCCAATCAGATGGATCCGTGTAAATATGTCAAATGGGGGAACGGGAAATTGCCAGTGTGGTTTATTGACTGTGATAAAATCTGAAAAGCACTGCTGAACATAATTACATACTTGTCAGAGCCATAAAAATTAGCTTTATTATCAATGGGATGCTTTTGTACAACTTCATTTGGGGGCGATGCCTTCCAGATGGGGAGCGTGGAGAGCTTTTTTACACTCCTGCTCTCTTCCCTGCATCTGGCTCCGTCATTAACAGCATGATGGTGTCTCTCTCTCTCCCTTTCTAACTCTTTTTTTTCTCTCTCTGCCATGGCACACAGGCAGTCACACACTCCTGCACACACACAGCAACATTTGTGATAAGCCTCACTCAGGGAAACACATTTATAGAATGGGCGCAGATGTGTAGGCAAATAGGCACCGACATACCCAGATGCAGATATCAGAATCAGAAATCCTTTCTTCAACCCACAGTGCGAAATATTTGACTATTACAGCAAATAAATGCAAGTACAATAGGTAGGCTAACATCTTTAATAGGGTAACTTTTTAGATGAATAATAAATAAATAAATAAATAATTGGGATTCTTTTTAAGGATATGGCATAACCGATATAATAAGGACTGATCCTTAATTATAAAAATATATATTAAGATAATCAAGGTTAGATATATTAGGGGATCTGTACCAAACAAGGATTTATTTTCTTAAGTCTGTAGAATAACATTTTTAAGCTGGGACTTTTCTGCAGCACCACAATACTTAAGTAAGAACCAGATTTTCAAATATTTTGTTCTTATCAAACATTTAGCTTACCTGCCATTTTTGATATTGCTGATTTCGATAACTATTCCATCATTTTTGCATTGTTTTATATTAAATAAAGAGACAAGAATGTGAAAAAAAACCCATAAAAAGTCAAATAAAAAAAAGATTGGTAAATGTCAAACAGACTACATTTACTTTATAAAGAGCTTTTCTAAATATTCATCTGAATGCTGATGTTGAACTCTCGCCACACGCTGATAACACATTTGGGTGACTCTTCCAGCTGGGCCTCTGCTGCTCTTCTGCACAGATAGCAGCTTTCAGCGGGTCCGCAGAGACAAAGCAGCTTCAAGTTTCCTCTATTACACCCATTGAAAGCCACTCGACTGTGAGAAGAGTTTTAATGCAGTGCCACTTAGAGGGGAGAAAAACAGCCTGGAAAATATGCATTCGGTCCAGGTTCACTTTTTATATCCCAACGTGAATGACCTTTAAGGGAACAAGGTTTTCATATAATAACACGGCCATTCTGCTGCTTTCTGTGGCCGCTTTAAGTCACCCTTTACATTTGCTGTTCCAAATACCTCATGTGGGATGTTCTTGGTTAAGAAATATAACTTAATGAAAAAAGAAAGAACTAGCATGTTGCTTAAATGAAATGGAAACAAACTAGATAGAATAAACATAAGTAACAAGAAAGGACACATCACCCTGATTGACAAATGAACTATAACTATCAGAAACACTGCAGGAATCACAACTTAGCCCAATAGATGGAGGGGAAAAAGAAGGACATTATTGATATTTCAAACCCTAACATTCTGTTTCAAATCAATATCTATCTTACCCTTACCCTAACCCTATATACATGACTAAACTAAAAGAAAAAGTTAAATAAAAAACTTGTTTGGATATTGTTCATGACTCCGGTCAAAAACGTTGCGAAAACTTTCAACTGGCGTCATATTTTCATAAAAATAAGGTAATCCTAAATAGGGCTTTTTGTGGCTGCCCACTATAAACCTTTCTAGAAGAGAATGACAAAGAAAACTCTTCAGAACTCTATGTGATATTTAAAACTGTTTGCCCAAACTTTGGCAGATCATTTTGTGATTGTGTAGGGCCATTAAAACCGACCAACAAAAAGTCGTCCAGTGTTCTGTATTTTCTGGAATAGTTACTGAGGATCTGGTCAGACCTTTTCTCCCTATCAGGAAAACCGCACGGGTCCCTCCTCCTTTCCTTCCCTCCCATCTCTCATTACGGCCAATGTTACAAGACCCCACCGCAGAAAAATCCATAGCCATCGATCCCTGCTACCAGCCGCGGTCGCCACAATTATTCTTGAGGAGGAAACATTGGCGATAAATTACATGTGTGCTTTTCATCTGCTGCTCCGTGGCGGTCAGCCCTCTCAGGGACTTGGTTTGGGGACGGCGAGTTGGGGTTGGGGGGGAGTGACACACTGCTGTCAACGCTGGAGGATGCGGTCAAAGCAAGGTGGACCCCCATCCAGGACACAAGCTTGCATTGACTTCACTCCTTTCTGATTCACCGCAAAAGACGACACTAAATAACCCCTGCCTTAACCTTATGCAACATTAACCCTAGAGCCACATTAATTAGCCTTTAACTTCAATCTCACACTTACCTTAACTTAATCAACCACCAAACAAAAACAAATTAAGGATATATAGGACAAAAAAACCCTGTTTAAAAGCATGAAAGACTCAGTGTACCAAGTCTAGACACTAAAATGCCCTAAAAAACTAAATGTCCTGCTAATGTGTTTGCACTTAGAGCACTTAAACTTTTTGGCTTTTTGAATATTGGCTCATCATTTCTCCTCTTTTGTTCCCATGATACACTTCAACCCACCAACTCTTCCAGGAATTAAATATATGCCATTAATGCAAGACAATAAAAAGGACTTTGAAGTCAAAATATACAACCTTTCTTTGCATGTGTGTGAATATATACAGTACATATGTGAGTCTGTTTGTGTGTATGTGTGTTTTAAATAACCCCAGAGGCGCTTGCATGCAGCTATAATTGCCTCCCTCATTAGTTATGTTTTAGCAGGAGCGGATGGGAGGGCAATTAATTTTACCGCTTAATTTTTGACACGGAATCCGCTGCTGTATTGATGTGCTCGCCATTTTGGGTCTCATTTTTCAGGGAAATTAATTGACAAAGTGCGAAGATTTATCAGCATATCGCCAGATTAAGCGACAAACTGAAGCAATGAGGAAATCAATTGTAGCCCTGTCGCTGTGTCCAACCTTCCTCCCCCCCCCAATGCCCAAGAGCCTGGGAAAAGCTGGGTGGGTCAGATTCAGTGCACTTATTTATTTATTTGAGTCGCTCATTCATCAGCCCTTACAAATGACCCTGGCGGCTGACGACCACTGAATCCCCCGCCCCCGCCCCCCTCCCTCAGACACGACTGGTGTGTGAGGAGGGAGTGATTAACATAAAAAACACACAAATCAGAGAGGAACAATGGATCCCGTTAGAGGCAGGAGAGGGAGAGCGGAGGTGTTAACTTTATTTTTTTTAGGGGGGGACGGGGGTGCTCTGCATGTCGCAACAAGCAACTCTATCCACAGGATGGTGACGGGTAGACCCAAGCTTTGCATTTCTATATACTTTCCATCAATTTGCCAGATGAAAAGACAAATGTAGCTAGCTTTAACAGCTGTAGCTAGCTAAGTAAGTACTAAGTCACTCCTAAACGACTTATTTTAAAACAGGAACCCTGTAAAATGGTGTTAAATATGCAATCACTAGTAGATACACAGTAACATGCTACTTTTATTAGAAGTTTTTACTTCAATGTATGTTTATATAAACATTTACTTATTTTATTCTAATATGGTGCAACTCTCACAAAGCCCAATTTCCCATGGGATTACTAAAGTACTTGGATTTGATTTGTAGACTGAGGATACAATCTGCATGTTTCAGGGCCGAAATGTTTCACATTTGTTATTTTTTGGAAAAGGCTAAATAAAACTCACACTCTTTATAGACAGTGTTTCAATCTTACTTAAGTCTTATGAAAACTGACTCCATTTGTTAAGAAGACAAAAGCATGTCTGCTGCCACCATTAGTAGCGGTTTACAATTGAGGTCCGTAGTCGAGTTAAGCAACAGCTATGTAATCTTTGTCATTCAAAGTGGTATCGGAATGTTGCAGTTGTACTTCTAGTGCATCATTCATGATGTATATTGTATATCTACAATTGTGTATATGATTTAGCGATTACTCCAGATCATACCATTGACTGCTGATCTATGGGATTAGAAATGTTGTTTTAAGGGATTAAAGCAACCTCCCTTATTCTTCACACACTTGACAAAAAAAACAACTCATTCAAAACGTCCCACTATATCGTCCTTCATAGAAAGTACTTTGTATTTTTAAGAGTTCTGAATAATGAGCTAGATGTGTGTATCATTCAGTTCAAACTCCCCAGTTAGTCATTGTTCTGTTACCCACACACACTTACCCACACACACTTACACACACACACAGACTGTAAGTCACATTACTGACGGCTCTGTTCCCAGGCGAGATTAGCTCAAACTTTTAAATCTCCCACTTATTTTATTAGTATTGCATTTTAGTGTCGTGAAGGAGCCGAGTTATAACCTTTAAACAGATCACACACATGCATATAATATTTCAGTGTGTCAGGTTGGCTGCTGGAATGTGATTGCGATGATTGTATAGCTGCAGCTAACGGTCCGACCCTGGCAGCAATTACAACTGGTGAAAGAAGTGTCGGGGGTCACAGTAAAGCAGAATTGTGTTAGCTTTTCTGGATGTTGCTAATCAAGTCAGTTCTTGTCGCTCACTGAAATGAGGCTGTCTCAGGTTCTATCTTAAAACTCCTATTTTCATATGTTCGTTCTCTGTAACCCTTGGTCTTACAAGCTTTCTTATTTCATCACTATTCTGTTTCCATCTCAATCACTTCACTCACTCTCTTAAAGTCTGTTTCCTCCTGCCAAACTAACACAAAGACGCAAATACGCACACACACACATACACACACACACACACACACACACACACACCAGGTGACAGCTTGGTGACAGTTGTACGCCAGCCGCCTGATGGGGAATGATGAGGGCTGGAAACAAATGAAAATAAAACGTCTAATTATGTCAGAGGCGCCTTGACGTTACATCACTGTTAAAACACATTTAAAAAAACATCCAGCAAGTCCCTCACACACGCACAAGCACACACACGAACACGCACACACAGCAGGCCCCCGTGACGGATGGAGGGCTCTCCTGCAAGCGCTCAGTCAGGCTGTCAGGCCACTGGCGGCTGCTGCTTCTGTCATTGACTTAAAAGGGCATCAAAGAGCCGTGTGTGGGACATTACCGAGGGCGAGGGGAAACTGCTGGGCTGCAGCATAAAGACACTTTCAGAGAGCCTGACTGGGGCTTCTATCGAGGGGCTATTATTCAAGACAGTATCCTCCCACCGCCCACCGCACCATCTGTCTATCCAAAGCTTTTAGGAAGTAAAGAAAAAGCAGTTCCACAGTGTACTGTACTTTAAGACCAATGGAGTTTGAAAGAAAAAGCACTGAATGTATAAAAAAACAACAATACCCAATTACTTCAATACAAAGTTTCCTTTTATTGTTTTATCGAGTTGTTGGCATTCAGTCTTTCTTTCTTTTTGTTCCTATTTTGCAACATGGAGAAATTAACACTGGCCCGTTTCAATGTGGGAAAACACACTCTCGAGGATCAGATGGATTCCATGAACACACACTCGCTGACCAGCTGGGTTATGGAAAGACGTGCTTGGTGACCAGATGGATTTTGGGGAAATACACATGACAACAAGTTGGAATTGGGGAATAAACACTACCTCAATTCTCTAATCAAGCAACCCTCTAAAAGTCTGAAGGATGGCAGAAAACAAAAACAAACATTAAATCCAGGCATGTTTTCCCTATCATTTGTATTCAAATCCGACAAGACTATCTGCAATACCGCCAAGAAATGGTGCCCGACTGTCTCTGGATGTTGAGAAATCACTACAGATGGACAAGTCATGGCTTTTGTCAGCCAAAAATGTGTGTATGTTTTTTTTCTCCAAACAAAGCTGTGAAGAATCATAATTAATGTGAGATTTTCACAGTTAACACGCTCTTTATTGTGTCTAGAGCTATAGAAGAAAGAAAAAGTTCATTTAGTTTGAGCCAAGTATAGAGTTTCTCGATAAATAACCTTTTGTCCCAAACTCCTAAGAACACTATTTGCCAGTTAAAAGTATTGTGGCAGTTTAGATTGACTGTCGTTGTGTTTGTGGAGGAGTATGGGAGTAATGCTTTATGGTTGAGGTTACTGGCTCTCGTTGTCTCACCTGTGTGCGTCCTATAGTGGTCCTTCATGGCCGACAGGTTGAGGAAGGCGTAGTGGCAGGACAGCCAGGCGCACTTATACGGTTTCTCCCCACTGTGTAGTTTCATGTGGTTGTTCAGGGCCCATTTTTCACTGAAGGAGCGATCGCACAACTCGCATTCAAACTTCCTGCAGGAGTAGAGAGGTAGGCAGAGGGGAATGATGAGGAGGAGGAGGAGGGGAAAAAAACGAAAAGTTATTTACTGATCCCAAAGCTGACGTAAAATGCTAGACGATCTACCTTGTGAGGGAGGAAATGGGGGTTGCTGGGTACTCGTACAGGGCCAAATGACTGTGTGCTGTACATCCACACACACACACACACACACACACACACACACACACACACACACACACACACACACACACACACACACACACACACACACAGAATGCAGTTGGCTGCTGGTGTGTCATGTCTGTATAAGCAGGCATTGATTTTTCTGTCCTGGCCTGCCACCTCCACCATTTATTCTCTGCTTTGCACCAGGGCCCAGAGGACTAGAGAAATTCTGTTACAGTCCACACACACACACACACCCCGCAGGGCCAGTGGGGGGAATAGAGTTCACCTGTCCAGCGTCCCTGACCACTTAGCCAGGGCTAAATGAACAGTTAGCAACATTTTACCTCCCGCTTCTCTCTTAAGGCTCCTGTATCAGAGCTTCCCGCCATTTTAACTTCTCTGCAAACTAGGCTTACCACGATAGTCGGTGATAATGGTCTGACACTTAGCCTCCATTGTCTTTGTAAGAACGTGTTTGTATAGAAAGCAGGGTATCAGTGCTTAAGAGGCCCCGTAGCCAATGCTTGATATAGACACTCAACAATAAAGATGAAAGTAAGCACATGGAGCATCATTGACTTATATCTTGAATACAGAACTATTAACCTAAAGCCGAACCGTAATACTAAACGCACAAAATGTTATCCATGCGCCGAAGAAAGCTGCCAGGAGACCGTCACAGTCAGATGAGTCATCCCTGCCCATCAACGTAAAGCCCAACCCTAGAGTTTACAAACCAGCGGGACATTTTCTCCAACTGTGTCACGCCTCCTACAAAAGTATCATTCCATCCTCTGCTCTCCTAAAAAAAAGATGAGTTCAGCTTTGGGTATCCAGTATCCTTCCAATTAATACAAAGCCCTATTCATCACATGTTGCGTGTGTCTCTTCAAGATGAAGAAAATGTGACTATTGTATAGCAAGGCAAGTTTATTTATATAGCACCTAGGCATAGTGTTGTTTTCTTTACTCTGGACATCCGTCTGTTCTTTATCCCGACACCTACCACCCAACAAAAGGTTTTATTTAGTTGACAATGAGTAGGATGTTTGCACCTATATTCATCTGCTGTGTTATTAGGCTTCAAGAAACGCACACGGGTAAAAACAATAGAAGCAGCCTGTGCTTGAATTAATCTTTACCCTCCGCGATATAATTTAGGCACAGGATGACTAATGTGCGAGTCATAAACAAATGAAGTCGGGTTTTGGGGAGCATTTGTCTTGCGGCGAGGGCCATGTTATTTTAGGGAGGGCGGCTGTCTTTAAGTCCTGATTGTGTCGCTTAATCCCCGTGGTATCTGTTTCATAGCGAGCAGCATGACACTCACCTGAACAAATAATGACTCCAAGCAGCATGTAGCATGTGTCTGAATCAATAATTCAAACTCATACATCTTCCTTACTGGAGCAAGGATGGTGGGGGGGGCAAAAGGAGAATGAGAGGGAGCGAGGAAAAGGAGGGAATTAAAAGATGGGGAGGTGGAAAGAGAAAGAGAGATATAAAGGAAAATGTGTTCTGGCTTCCATATCAATCTATATGTTCCATAAAGATGAATCTGAATGTGATATGGATGTCATGCAGTTGAGAGGACATTTTAAGCTCACTTACCAGGAAGGATGGAGCGGCTTTAAGATGGCGCCTTTATCACCTGGCTCTAAGCTTGAATGCAGATTTAAAATAGTTCTCATCTACTTCATTTGACCAACAGATGTACGTCTGCTTCATTATTCCCTTCTGTTTTTCCTCACTCCCTGCGGTATTTAAATGGAGCAGCTCGTCGCCCGTGCCACCGTGGGAGAGGTAAATAAGATGAGTGAAGAGATGCTATCTTTTATTGTAAGCATTATGCACAGCACTCCTGCTTTATGAGCTAAACGGGCCATTGTTTATCACGGGGCGTAATCGCAAAGTCGGGCAGGCCTTGACGTGGGGACCCTGGGATGGAGGGAGAAAATAAAGGCAGGAGGGAGAGGAGAGAAGATGGAGGAGTCGGGCTGGCAGAGTCGACTATCAGTGGGGGTTTTGTAAGGATGAGAGGAGGGTTTGCGTCTGTTTTTATGGGATCAGATGGAGCGCTTTGATCTTGTCCCCACATGTCAGATCCCGTCACGATCCACTGTCTCGCCCATACATATGCATACTGCCTCTAAACAGCAGCTACCATGCAAAACACACCGAAGGTAGGAGGTGGAGGGAAGACAGATAGAGAGAGAGGTTGAGTGGATTTGTGTACGCATGCGTATAAAAGAGGGAGAAAGCGAAAGAGACAGGAGTAAGAGAGAAAAGAGAGGTCTGCCAATTCAGAATATCATTTCAGAATACTTTTCGGAAATGGAATTCAAAACCAACAAAACAACCACGTTTGATTCAGAAATTCTGCTGAAGCAACCTGGTTTAGGATTCAAAACAGCTTGAGAGAAATTCTGGAATTATAGTTTTTATAATTTCAAGATATATCTCAGGTATGGCTATTAAAGATTGACAGGTTGTGAATTTGGAGATTAATTTGGCGGTCTAAAGCAAATTCACATCACATATGCAATTACAGTATACAATGACTTCTAAAGAAAAAATAGATGCATGTACTTTTTATAGTTGAGTAGAATAGTTGTGTGCACGTCAAGAGAAAAGTATTTGATCCCTGAAACCAGGGCTTTGAGTCTACACAGGTTCCCTAAGGAAAATACAAAAGTATGAGAATGAAATAAGATGAAAATATGACTAACTAACTGCTGACATTAAAATAACTTAATAACAATCATGTGTGCCTAAGCATGTTTCAGGTGCTGAGATCAGTTTTGCCACATTGGTATAGAAGTAAAGAAGTTGTAGAAACAATCCAAGTAAAAGGAATCTGTGATGGTCTTGATGTATGGAAAGACCAAACCAGAATCAACAATCTTAGAGCAACAAGAATATAAAAAGATAAGAGAGCAAATAGGGAAAAACCATTCATTAGAATAATAGCTTTCGTTTTGCATCAACTGGCTTTTTCACATAGCGGTCAAGCTCTGATGACACAGCGGGGAATAAACTGTAATTGTGAATCATTTCTACTTCCAGTCATTAAATCTCTGCTTCTCTTTTTTCCTGCATCCTTCCATCTCCTCCCTTTCTTTTCCCCTTCTGATCACAAAGCCAGGCGACACGATTGACACCCCGTGCAGATTTATTCAAAGACCCAGGTGGGCCTCTTGCCTTTACGTTGAGAAAATCTGCATGCTACAGTGTCTATATTGTCACTCATTACCATATCTATACTGTGCTGTGATCCTGCCATCAGTTCAGGCATATAGGGCTACTGTCAGAACATCACAAGCCACACCGGCCTTCATTGTGATAGAAATCCCTCAGGAGCAGTTACTGTACTCTAACAGGGGTTGGAGAAAGGGCTTTAGTCGTAACCACTCACTCACTATCGCCACCAAGTGGTGCGGTGGTGCTTGTTGAGGGGGATCTTGCAGGGTAACTGTAAATGTGTGTTCTGGGTAACAAATAAACAAACATCTTGTTTAAAAGAGGCCAGTTTTGAATGACAACAAAGATGAACGTTATTAATTTCACTTCATCAGAAAAAAGACTTTTTTACAGAAGGCAGAGCGGACACCCTTGTTCCTCCTTACTGCAAGTGTTGGCACATAATACTAATCTATTGGCATGTTTTTTAATTGATTTTATTAATTATGTTTGTCTTTTTTGGACAGCCTTTCCATTTCGTGTTGGCCGGTTGGTGGGTGAGAGGGAATAATCCTCCGATGCTCTCGCACTGCAACACAAAGACAGAAAAGAGAGGAGAGAGGCCGACTCTCGCCTCGAGCCAAACTGACACAAACAGACAACTTCAAAGTGAAGACTGTTGTTTATTTGGCAAAGGGAAAGGAGAGGGGGGGGAGAAAAAAAGGGAGAAAAATGTATCTGATATGCAACTGTCAGGAGAGCATTTTCACATGCAAAATAGCGAGTGAGTGAGAGAGATTACCTAGAGGGAGGAACATGACAGCATTCACTGGGGTCAGGATGGATCATCATCTTCAGCCCCCATCTCCCTCTCTGTTCTCTCTCTTTCTCGCTCCCTCCATCTTTATCTCTCTCATCTCTGTTCCCCTCCCTCCTTCCTTTTTCCCCTCCTCTCCCTTTCCCCTTTCAGACTCCATCACTCTGCACTTCGACAACCCAGCAGCTTAAATCCAGACTAAATTAGCTGAATGAAGATTAAATCATTTGGCCCTGAGCTCTCCGAGATATTGGGAGGAAGACTGAGTAAGCCTTAAATGGTGTCTGACTGGGTTTCGGACCTAAACAAGAGTCTGAGGAGAGACTCTTCCTTCAATGGCGGTCAATTGAAACCTGATTAGAGCGGGGGGTGTTGGGTAAAAAACGAGGCAAAGATTAGATTTCTGGGACAAGTGTTTCCTAAGTAAGGACGCTGGCTTCGTTATTTTTCGTTTGCACGCACAATGTCGGCCGACGACAGACTTGTTCCCGGGCTAAGATATCGAACCGGGCAACATCATCGCTCACGGTGCTTAGAAGGATTGCTTAAGGAAAAAAGAACAGTGGTCACTTCTGTTTTATAAAAGTCCCAGAGGACAACTTTCTTTTCTCCATGACAACCAATTGTCCAATGTGTATCAGCTGACAATGACTTCTCATTTAGTAGACCCTATTTCATAACCCTAACTCAAGAAAACAATAAAAGTGTTTGGATAGCATTTATAGAAACAGATCATACCAACCACTATAGAGTTTCCTTTCTGTTTCAGGACAGATGTTGGATCACAGAATAAAACCAAGAGAAACTTCAAACTCTTCCTGATTCAGCACCAGATTTTGAGCGTAG